TTTAACGGATCAAATGTCATACATTTGATTTGAAATATATTTATTTTACATTGGACTATGTCTTTTTATGTTGTAGATAACTCCAATGAAAAATGTAGCTAAAGTAAATATCCAAATTAGTGGTAAACAACAACTTACTCATAATAAATGTAGTGTAAGAAGGATACCAACCCCAAATGATTACTTTGTGTATTAATAAGCAAATCTTAATTTCAGTCACTCGAAATCAAAGCGAAATCAAATTGTAGATATGAAGTAAAATATATTGACATTCCATATTGTATTTTGTTGTTTAAATTTATGCATTATTTTGATTTTATGTTAGTAATTACAACACTCCAGCCCAGACTGACGTAAATGAGATGCCTTTGCCTTTATATATCTACTTTACGTTCACGAAATATATGATAAATTCAATGGAATGGTATTTATAGCTATAGCAAAAAAAGCCATCCGTAGATGTTATATTTTGAAGCAAAGTCCAGAGTATTTTTATCTTGTGAGACCTTTCAGGACAGCGGAATATTATTCCACCGACTGTGACCATGGTTGTAACTAACTAGCTAGGTAAAATGTCGCCATTTATCTGGTTCAAGCTAGATGGGTGTAGATCACGAGATTGAACGTGAAATTGTAACATGACAGATCCCGGTACGAAGTTCTAATGTGTACGCGCGAAACAACCTTCACACGCTAGAATAAGTACCTGGATAAAGTCTTCCAGCGTTCCAAAGGACTTCCAGCCGGACGGGAACACACCGCTCCGGAGACAGCTGGTGAACAGTCGTCTCATGTGGTTCCCCAGTCCGGCGTGGAAAGCCAACACCCACGCTCTGCCCGGGACACCATCCGGGCCAGGCGCAGTGTTCCGAGCACCGAGACGCCTCACGGCTCGTCAGAGAGAGAGATATCGTCAGACCAAATGTCCTCATCCGTCACCGACACTTGTCCTGACGACCCTGAGTCGGGACTGCTCTCGACCCTAGGGAAGAGGGTGACCACCACCCTCTCCACGAACGCAGGGTCGAGGCTTGTCGTCAACGGAGTTACCCATGGCCGGAGCTTTCCCATAACCCTTTTGTATGGCCCCCATGGATCCCTCTGCAGTCCCTCGAGGAGCTCGCCCCAGGATCGAGCCTTGGCATCTTTTACTGCGAGGCTAAGCGCCTTCGCAGCGTCCCTGTACTCCGTATAGGTTCCCTCTCTCTCGTCGACGGTGACTCGCCGCCTTCTACGGGCCCTTTTCTACTGGCGTCGGGCGCGCAGACAGACCTCTGTCAGCTGCGCTAACTCCTCCGACCACCAGTGCTGGGCCCGCTGCTCGGTGCGTGCAACTCGGGGCATCGAGACATCACAGATGGACGTCATCATGTCCCCGAGCCGCATCGCTTCCCTTTCCGGATCGAGCGAGATCTCAACGTCGGAATCTTCCGACGAAGACGCGGCGATGGCTGCGGCCTCGAGCAGATCTCTGTCGAGCCGCTTGAGGGACCATCGTCGCGGTGGGACCCGCGTTGGCGACGGGAACTGCCAGGACGGCGGAATACCACGTCGAATACGATGTGGTGGTGGTCAGATAGCGTGACCACCTCTTCTGCCACTCGCCAGGCCGACACCATGCGCGCCGCTGAAGGAGTCGCCCACGATAGATCGATGAATGACTCCCCCTGCCACCGCACGCAGGACTGACCCCGATGCAAGAGTTGGAGGTCTAATCCCGCCGCCCACTATAGCGTTATCTCCCCTCGGACATTATCCCGGACGTCGCCCCATGCTCTAGAGCGAGCGTTGAAGTCGCCCAGGGCAATGACGGGACGAGGATGACATCTGCGAAAGCAGTTTGCCACCGCGTCCAAGTATCCCTCGTAAGCGGCGAGAGATACGTTGGGGTAAGTTCCGATAAGGCGAACACGTTAACTAATTTTTAAAAGAGAGCTTTATGCTCTATTGTTTTGCTATTTGAAACGGTTATTTAACCATTTGTCACTTAACCGCATTTTAGTTAGTGGACGGCAGTATAATAGTTAATTCTGGTTTTTTTTTTCAAATGCGGTAGCACCCCTGGACGCAATCAACGCTCTCCAATTCCTGCGGAGGCACTTACCGCCCCTTTAGGACTCTTTCGGAGCGCCCACTGGGGGGCGGTAGAGACCACTTTGGGAAACTATGCTGTAAATCGAAGAATACCTTGAACACAAACCACGCTGAACGATCAACGTAATTTGTAGCACCAAGTAAGATCCAGAACGTGGATCACAGTCCGTATTTCTGTCTCGAAGCTGACGAACCACTTCCCTGATGAATTCATTGGCCTCCGTACCAGAAGTCCCCGCAAGTACTGACACACGTAGTGTCCTACAAAAGGCACCGACTTTTCTGCCATGGAACCAATGTAAGGCCGTCAGGCTTCTTGCTCTCTGTACGATACAACCCCTCTAAGAGACAAGACACGTTAGCTAATACTAAAGCCCGGCGAACTAATAATTTATGGTATGATGTCTTGAAAACCACCCCGCGAACCAATGACAACTAAGGCCGTGGTGGTCTTACAAATTGTTTGAACAAAGACGAAGTATTATGCGATTTAAGCAATCCGAGTAAATATTCCTGTTCATGTCGAGTTTAATGTTAATTTATTAGAGGTAAGGGTAGAATCTCGAAATACTTCTACTACAGTCACTTGTTTAGACAAGCTTATACCTGTGTGTCCATGGGTGTCCTCATCTAATTTTGTGACAAAACATAATTGTACACAAAAAGACTACTCCAACTTTATTTTCATTAGCTATCAGATATTTCAGATGGCTATCAGATATTTCAGAATGTTTCATGATCACTAGTTCTGACAAAATCCTCTTCCTTATCTGCAAACTCTTTATCAGAATTTGAAGTTACAGTATTGCTTGCAGATATAGAATTTACGCCGATTTCTCCCTCGTCGGTGTCAAAATCAGCGTTCAAACATTGGTCTAATGTATAATATCATTGGGTCTAATATATCTTCGTGAATTACTAAGACACTTATCTGACTAGAAACTGAAATAACAAACAACAATAGATAAAATATGTCATACAAAAACTTACGTATCTACAGTCTAAGCCATTACTACGTTTACGTTTGGAGCAACGTGCAAGACATGTCCATCTCACTGTGCGTATTTCGGCGTGGTGTCGGAAGGTGCTCAGGAGTGGGAAGAGCTGCATAACCTGCAGCGATTCCTACGCGAGAAGTTGGATCCATTGGAAGGAACCACGACTATAGTCAAGGGAGTAAATGATCAAAAGTGAAGTAGGTACTATTTACTTTACCTAAAATCCACAAAATGATATTGTAACCTAAGATTGTAACATAATAAAAAAAATCATCGCAACAGAAGTGACAATTTCGCATTGTTGCCCGAGACACGTGGATTCGTGCGAGTGAGCGAGCGTACCTACCTAATTTCTATGGCAATTTTTATTATTTAAGTATTCGTAAAGTATTCGTGTAAATTATCGTGAAATATTAATAATAATAATAACATAAATAATAATAATGTTTCAGGTTACTACACTCGAATATTAAACAATACTTCATGATAATATTCCACAAAATTTTAATAATTGCCAACTAAGCCACGGTACGAACCAAGGGACTTTTCGAATTTTTCTATCTGCAAAAACAAAGATCTGCAACAATGCAGATCTTTGTTTTTGATTTTCAATAAAATCTTAAAAATTACAATTATTATATATAATTAAAGCGATATCTCTAGTCAGCTGCGCTGATAGCCGTACAGGCTGAGTGAAGAAATAGATTTTTCGCAGTCACAGTGCAAAGATAAAGATAAATAAATACGATAGACACTTGACGCCCCACGACGTCTCCCTTAGCACCATTTCCCGCACATTCATCAGATACGATACGCACCGCTGATGGTAGTTGTGGGAATTCTCGAGAATGTGCGTGAATTTTCCAGAAGACGAGTAATTTGTTCATGGGCTCGTATCTAATCTAGTTTGTACGTTACATAAAGTTCATAATGTTAATTGTATTATGTACAATTTCATTACAAACATTTGCTTCCATTCCGTTCCGCGGCAATGTAAGTTGAGCCAAAGACCAACTAAAACTGATTTGATAACTTTATCAATTTATGAAAAACACTTAAAATCTGTTTAATTTATGTATAAATCTTACCAGAATAAGAGTTGCATTTTTGATTCATTGCCCGTGGACCTACAGCGTAATCGTACTAGTAGTACCAAGGGTAATGTTTTTTGCCCGTGGTTCTACCAGTAGGACTACAGGCAGTATTGTACGGGGCATTGGACCTACTGATCGGGTAGTATGCATAGTCACCGTCGATATCAATAATGTTACTGGTTCCTGAGCTAACTACAATTTTAATCTCTAGGGTATCCCTGTGACAGTTCATAAAAAGTCGCAAGATATAATCTTGTAATAACGTGAACTGTTGAATGTATTTTAAAATTATTTTTGTGAATATCACTTTTAAGTGAAAATATTATATGGTGCGTACAGTCACTGAAGAGCGCCGCAGCAGGTTTTAAAACCCAACTTCAAATCTACTTTGGAATTGCGACTGATCAGGCAGGCAAACCCGGTTTAGGGTGAAATAAGACTATACATTCTAAGTATTCCAGTTACCAGGACCCCATACCAACCTCGCCTGCACGCGGTGCACCTTGCATATAGCGAAAGGGGCTCTGGCCACACTTTAAACAGAGTAACATAGGGCGCACTATAAGTTTCCGGAACTGGCCACTTACATAAACAATATTTAAAAAGTAATTACAACATTTGAAAATGGAACTCTTTGGCTGTAGAATACAGTTTGTTTCATCTGACTGTAACTTGTTTTGACATTGTGGCGTCATTTTAGAAATTGGTAGTCTACATCACCATGGATTTAACTCGTGAAAATTTTCGTATGATTTTCTACGACTTTCAGTGTAATTTAACAGCTCAGCGGAGCTTCGG